AATAATGGAAATCAAGTGCAATATTTTCTTTTGGCTATTTTAGTATAAGCACATCCAGAACATTCAGTGAACTTCTTGAGTTATAAGGGTTTGGTGGTAGTCTAGAATAAGTGAAATTCAGGGATAAAATTTAAAAATCTCATTTGTAACCAATAGCTTCAATTTCCTTCTACATGAAATCTGTTGTCAGAATCTTACACAAATGTTCTAGATCTTTCCCTCTCATGAATTCATAAATTATACCAATAAGCATTTGAGAATGTTCTGTGTGAAATATACTTTTCCAAATAATTGCACATACCTTTATTTCAGCTCACATCAACTCTGTGATGACATCTTTATTTTACATATAACACAAAAAGGCTTAGAGAAGTAATTTGTCCCTCCTTAAAAAGGTATCAAAGACAGTCTACACCTGAACTAAAGTTTTTAGACTGGACAACTATAGCCTATCACTTCGTCTGGTAATCACATACTGCCTTACATTTGTACTACCAACTTTCACTCTTATATTTCTTAATTTTTCCTACATTCATGTCTTTAAGAACAACAACTGTGTTTGCTTTGATGTCTTATAGTGTCCTTTGCTAGAATGATTCAAGCTGTTTGCATGACAGACTGTGTACATTTGGGCAGGCTTCAAGAATTCTCAGGGCCTCATACTTATAAAATGTAACCAAAATTAACTGAGTACTTAACTGTACTAACAGTACATAGTACTTACTGTACTAACTACCCGTATTAACCCATTTAATCCTCACGACAGCACTGTGAGATCAGTACATTGTCCCCATTTTACAGATGAAAAAGCCAAAAGCTAGAGGGGTTCTCTACCTTGTCCAGGAATAAGGTTACAAGCTAGCAGGTGAGTCAGGCTTCAAAAGCCAAGTTATTCTGTATAGACTGCCTACTAGCTTGTTAAAATGTTAAAACTGTCCCTTTAGGACTAGATAATGACTAGATGAAATCATATATTCATAGAGTAGGAGAGGGGGGAATAAAAATAATTAACTCCTGGCAATGATTTCTTGGAAATGACAGCAAAAAATTAGGCAATAAAGCAAAAATAGACAAATGGCACTACAATAAACTTAAAATTTCTGTGCATCAAATGATACAATCGAGTAAAAAGGTAACCTATAGAATGGGGGAAAATATTTGCAAATCATATATCTGATAAGGGGTTAATATCCAGAATACACAAAGAATACCCACAACTCAACAAGAAAAAACAAAAACCTGATTTAACAATGGGCAAAAGACTTCAACAGACATTTCTCCAAAAATAATGTATAACTGGCCAATAAGCATATGAAAAGATGCTCAACATCACTAATCATCAGAGAGATGCAAATCAAAACCACAATGAGATATCACCTCTCACCCACCCACGAGGATGGCTACGATCAAAACAAACAAAAACCAGAAAATAAGTGTTGGCAAAGATGTTGAGAAACTGCATCCCTCGTGTACTCTTCCTGGGAATGTAAAATGTTGCTAACAGAAAACAGTACTGTGATTCCTCAAAAATTAAATATAGAATTACCATATGACCCAGCAATCCCACTTCTGGGTATCTAAAAACATTGAAAGCAGGATCTTTGTATTCCCATGTTCATAGCAGCACTATTTATACTAGCCAAAAGGTGGAAGGAACCCAAATGGCCATCAACAGATGAGTGGGGCCATGAAATACTATTCAGCATTTGCAAAAAAGGAAATCCTGTCACACGCTACAACATGGATGAAACCTGAGAACATTACGCTAAGTGAAATAAGCCAGTCACAAAAAGACATATACTATATGACTCCACTTATATGAAATATGTAAAGTAGCCAAATTCATAGAAACGAAAAGTAGAATAGTGGTTGCCAGGGGCTGGGGAGATGAGGAAAATAGGGAGCTGTTTAAATGGTTCAGTAAATGAAAAGTTCTGACGATACCTTGCACAACAATGTGAATATACTTAACACTACTGAACTGTACCCTTAAAAATGGTTGAGATGGTAATTTTTATGTTATGTGTTTTTTACCACAATTTAAAAAAACGTATTAATTCCTTTCTCTCCTTTCCCTTCTTTTTCCTGTCCTCTCTAGTACAGTGTTCCAGGGCAATATAATAGAAAAGACAGAGAGAAAAGCGAAGGACACAAGCGTTTCAACGATGAAGAAAAGAAAAATTAACAAAATAAAACAGGTAGCCCGTTTTTATTAATTTATCAATATTTTCTTCTTAACCTGAAAATAAGTGAAACAGTATCCTACTGGCGAGGCAACAGAGTATAGCAGTTAAAGGCCTTTTGGAGTCTGAAAGCTCAGCTACCGTTCTGAGTTTTCCACTAACTGTTGTGCGACCCTGGGTAAGATATTTTCATTCATTCGCAACTCATTCATTCATTCATTCATTCATGTATTTCCACATGGGTGAACCGCGTCAAATGAATGCTGTGCCTCCACATACAACTCTTGGCACTGTGTACGTAACTGATCAACAAATGTTAGCTGTTTTTACTTTGAAGCCCAGAGAGTTGCACAATAAACAAGGTGAACTCGACTCAAGGAAGCCCGATACCCTATGCTTTAGAGATTTGCTTAATTTGTCGATAATTATGATGTTATCAAATCAGATACTATTCGGCAAATCATTACTGACTCCTGATCATTCTCGTTCCTCGCTTCTGTCTCCCAAGGAAAAGCAATGTCATCGCAGGTGCTCGAAGGTGTTTGCTCTGGGAACAGTTTTCTGCCGAGCCCAGAGGCGGTGGAAGCCGAGAACGGCCACTAGAGTTCCCCGTTCCTCTCGCTTCATGAGGGGCCTAGGCCTTACTCGGGGGTGAGGATGGGAAGGAAGGGAGGCCACAAATCAAGCACCCAGACATGAAGCCCCACCGTGGTAAGACGGGGTCAGGCAAGTCTCCTCCCGGGAGAACGAGAGCTGGACGGTTGCGAAAATGCAGCGGGGAGCGTCGGGCAGGCCGGTGAGGAGGGAGTCTCGGGCAGCCCGTCCCGAGGCCGGCCGGGGCGGGGGTGTGTCGGGACGCGGGCCCGCGGCAGGGTCGGGCAGGCGGGGGACCCGGAGGCCCCGGGAGGGGAAGGTGGGGGCGGGGCGGGCCGGGCGTGGGGCGGGCGGGGAGGGACGCCGAGGTCTCACCGCGGGCCGAGGGCAGCGGGTAGAGCTTCTCGGCCTTCTGCAGGAAGCGCTGGGCCTTCTCGCGGTTGCCGGCGTTCAGGGCCTCCCGGGCGATCTCCACGCATTTCTCCGCCTCATCCCGGTTCCCCTCCATGGCTTGCGCCTTCTTCCGTTTCCTCCGGTTGCGCAGCGACGCGGGGCGGAAGCCGCCGCCGCGGAGAGGAAAGGCCGGCCCGGTGGGGGCGTGCGGCGGCGGCGGCGAGCGGGGAGGAGCACAGGGGACCAAGGCGGCCCGGGCGGACGGACTGGCCTCGCAGCTCCGCCTCCTACGGCGGCCTCCCCGCCCCCGCGGGCGGCCGCTGCGCGAGCCGCGTCCCGCTCGGCCCCGGGCCGCGCTCCGGAGCTGGGCGTCCGAGCCCCTCGGCGATCCGTGCGCGGCACCCACCGGCCCGGGGACGGCGGGCGAGAGCAACGCGGTCGCTCGTCGCGGGGAGGGCCGGGCCCCGACCTCCCGGCCCGACCCGCACAGACAGGGCCAGGGCTAACGGACAGCGGAAGGGACACTCGTTTCCAGGAAGAGTCCCAGAGCGCGGACGCCCCGCCTCCGGGCCCCTCAGTTGCGGGATTCGGCCAGGTGAGGCCCGCGGCGTCAGCCCAAACAGCGCTTCCGGACACTCCAGAGCGTTCTGCGACCCTCCCCCGGGGGGGCTTGTTTTACTGCCTTATTTCAGCTCCACGTTTTGCTGACCCATGTATCTCAGGCTATCCAAAAAGAGGTAAAAAGGAGTTTAATTTGTGGTTTGTAATTATTCCCAGTAATCGTGTATGGCTAAAACAGGGCGGGAAACCAGCCCCTTCAGTGTATTACAGTCCCAAAACGAAACTCCTGATTTCCCCTTTCCCCATTTTTGTAACATTACCCTTGGGAAGTAGTACCATGTCATGTTAGTCTGCTCAGTGGGGGGGAAAGGGTCACTGTATGTTTGGTAATGTCTACATCCAGATTTTCAATTTAAAAACTTGCCAGAAACCAAGTGTCAAAATGATCCGCTCAACTCAACCACGAGGTTATCAATTTTTATGTAACATTGAGTAAGCCAAGCTATTGTTAGCCATGCTAACAACTGAACTCGGTGCTTCCAAAGAAATCCTCATTCTCCTTCATAAAACGGGGATAGTATATCCCCCAAAACGTTACTTAACATACTGAAGAGTATTTAACAATTTCAGACTTCAGAGTCATGCTTGGCATATAGCCCTAGTATCTTCAAAGTCTAAATCGAAAGTTCATTCTGTGGAGGCAGCTATATAAAGGACGTCCCTACCTGCCCTCTCTCCCCCCAGTCCCCCGCAGTAAGCCAACCGGGGTAGCGCTGCCTCCCAGCAAGCACCAGTATACAGTATACCGAGGGTCAAACTTAGCCTAAGAAACAGTAACAATCCCACTCCAACTCCCATCAAAGCTTAAAAATCTTTCATAGCTCAATAAGTAACATTTAAAAAGTTAACATTTGGACCATCTGACTTTGTTGATCGACAGATTAACAATTTAATTTCACAGGAAAAAAACGTGCTTAGTTATCGCTGGATGATACTCAAAAGAAACAAGTTTGTATTGTGACCAAGCAAATTTAAAACACAACTAGTTTGGGATATGACCTTTATTGAGCTCATCCACCAGAGTGGAAATAATGTCTGTACAAAACCAAATGTTTGTTACTATAACTTCTGCATCACAATTAAAATCCAAACAGTTTTTTAAAAACAGTCAACTCAATCAAAACCCACTACTTCAGAATCAATAGCTTCTTTGAAGCCACAGTAACACTTAAATATGGTTAAGACTTGAATGCAGAAATTTGGTTGGTTGGAAAAGCTAATTAAACTTCCAACTTGCTCAAATAGAATTACAAAAAGGCAAAATTGTGTTTTTCACAGAGATACAGTCCACTGGAATCACCAACACTGGACAGCTGTTAGAGTATTTAGAGTCCTGAGATAATAAGGAATCCAGGCATCCTTTAGACAGTCTTCTGTTGTCCTTTCTTCCCAATCAGAGATTTGTGGATGTGTGGAATGACACCTAGGAAAATAACAGGGATTAATTCTTTTAAGATACATATTTTTAAAATCATACAGTACTTGAAACCAAGGCAGTTACACTGTTCAACTTGGAAGATATCTTTAAAACGTGAAGCTCAAGTATGACAAACTGAGTTACAGACTAATCAAATTTCATGATATACCTGTACTGCGTCAATGAAAATATACTTAAATGTCTTCCTCTAGACTAAAAACCACCAACGGAAACTGAAGCAGCAAAGAACTCTTTCCTTTAAAGGGATTTAAAATAAAATTTTAGCGGTTACATACCACCACCAGCAATTGTAGCCTTGATGAGAGAGTCCAATTCTTCATCTCCACGAATAGCAAGTTGCAAGTGACGCGGGGTAATACGCTTTACCTTTAAGTCTTTTGATGCATTTCCTGCCAATTCCAGTACCTAGAAGGCATAATCTAATCAATCTCCTTCCAGCTTTCCTCCGACCCAGATCCAGAGAACAGAATCAAATCTGCATCAATGTAGTAACTGTCGTCGCCCCTCACTACCACAATGACAAGGTACACAAAGCTACACGGGGCCATGCAATTCTATTTCCAAGAGCAACAAACTCAAGCTCAGCAGGATCCTTGCTGAACACCAGCTCCCTCTAGCGTTCCCCGAGGCTGCTCGCCGCGCTTAGGGCCTGGGAGTTTTCTTGCATCACTTTCCTCCTTCGCTCTCGCCGCCTCCCCGCCCCCCCTTTCCAGATTACAGACGTCCGCCGCTTACCTCTGCGGTGAGGTACTCCAGGATGGCTGCGCTGTACACGGCGGCGGTCGCGCCCACACGTCCATGACTGGTCGTCCTAGATTTCAGGTGCCGATGAATGCGGCCCACCGGGAACTTAATTGTAAGCACACACAGACATAAATGCACAATACGAGAGTCAAAGACGGAAATTACACGCGCGCCAAACCGAAGGGCATGGACGCTGGCGCAGCGACGCGCCCCAGCATCGGCACACGCGATCGCTCCCCCCGTGTTTATCGTAGCGGCCGCCTAAGTCGCGACACCGCATCACCCGCGCCACGACGAAACGCCCATTGAGCGCGATGGTAAACAAGAAAGGGGTGCAAAGAAAACGCCACGACTCCCAGACTGCACGAGCAACTACTGACCTGCAAGCCGGCTCTCTGCGAGCGGGAAACCGCCTTTGTCTTGGCCTTTCCGGAGTCCTTCCCAGCCTTACCGCCAGCCTGCGGCGCGCACACGCCGGCAGCGGAGGAGGAACGCGGAATATAGAATTACCAGGCGGCCGCCCCTCCCCCACCGCGGCGCGTCCGGGCGCGAGCGCGGCCCCGAGCCCCGCCG